TGTCAACCTAATTTGTATCTGATCTGCAGTGAGGCCCTTCTTATTATCTTATACCATTGATTTCATGATTTTGATGCTACCTTTTCAGCTATAATTTAGGTTTGAACTGCATGGAAATTAAAGAAACTATTCGTGTGACAAATTGATTTATAATGAAATGAAATAACAAAATTTGGTTAACCCCCACATTTGCATGCAATTCAACATGAATTATATAGTGACCTAAAAGTGTATCTGTGTACCAAGATAGAAGTTATATAAGTTCAAATATTTGCGAAACACGATTTTAAGTTATTGCACACACACGCACGCGCGCGCACACGCAAAGAAGTAACTTTCATTACTTATCGTCTTAATTCTCATATATATACAACTAAACAAATACAAACGAGATAACAATGAAAGAAACCAACTTTAGTACACAAAAATAACGATTACAAGAGGAACCCAAAACTTACCTGCAACAAGGATACGCATATTTTTCTGTGTGCCTCTCGTGAAAATCAATACTCTTTTAAGGCATTTTGAAAGAAGCTTTTTGCCGGTCAGCAGCCACACGGAATACATAAGATGACAAAATTGAATGGAGTTTGTGTTTAAATATCTATCCTCAATCGTCGCATTTCAGATTGGAATGTGGAGCTCGAGTTCAATGTTCGACGAGCAAGAGCTCTTATGTCCTCTCTGGAGCAATCACGCGAAATACGAACTAACTCCCAAAGGGCACCTCCACTTATCATATCTTTGGCATTGACCTCTGTGGAGTTTTTTTTAACAAATTATTGAATAAATTTGGCGCTATGAGAAAATGTAGCACACTGGAAAACCGAAGTTTAACAATATAGGTGCAATTTGTATAACCAGAAAAAAGAAAGTGAATGTGTTAGCTCCACGGGTTGACTTTGCAAACTAACCCGAGTCGAATCAGTATATTACCGTGCTGTGCCAGGTGGCAGAGTGCAAGCTCAACGTGACGTCTGATTAGTGAAGCTTCATTGTTGGCATTTTGTACTATCCATGGCAAAGCACCATCTTCTATCAGCAGAGATCGACCTTCTCTTAGTCCTGCCATTTAAGTGGTATTATTACTTTATTAGATGGACAAATGCAAGCAAACAAGGGCGGATCCAGAAATTTAGTTTGAGGGGGGCTATATATTTTTTCTAATAATCATAAGTTTAATTTGATGTACATAAAAATATAATAGAGTTTCAAACCTTGACAATGGCCTTTCTATTAATAATTGACTTAATAATGAAAGTTGTAATAAAATTTCATTGATAATTGACTCAATACTAATAGTTTCGATCTTTGTTCTTTCCATTAAGCATATCTAATATGGTCTTCTTTTTCAAAAAAATTACCATTTTTTTTTTTGTTTCACATATTTACCATACATTCAATTTATTTAAATTAGAACAAATGTTATACAAAAGTGTAAGAAGAATATAATTGTAATTAAATTATTAGTAGAAAGAGTTATATAATTATTATTTTAATATAATTGTGAGAGTTTATGTGAAAAATGATATACTTAACATATAATATATTGATATATATATATATACACATATACTAAAAATTAAAAATTTTGGGGGGGACAATGCNNNCCCCCCCCCCCCCCCCCCTAAAACACCCTAAATCCGTCCCTGCAAGCAAATGATTAGTGAAGCATGTTTTTAAAAGCTACCTTGACTGTATGCCCGAGACTCGCACTTAGCGAAATTCGCAATACCACGGGCGATTTGGGAAATAACATCCGGATGTCTACATCTCACCATTCCTAATAGAGCTTTGATGCCACCTTCTGACCTTAGCCTTGTTTGTAGTTTATCTGGAAAGAGCCATGGGTCTTGTAATCAAATATTCGGAAAGGCACTCGAATTTCATTAAAATCTACAAGACTAAGATTTCATTTGAATTCCAATTGAAATGAACACATAAAAAATGAGAATAATAAATACCATTGCCGCATAAATTAGCAATTGCTCCAGCAACCATTCTCAGAGTCTGAGGGTCTTCAGCATCGGTAGCTGTTGTTGCTAAAAGACATATTCCACCTTGGGCCATTATGATCTCTTGATTGGCCTCTGTAAAAAAGATATAATAATAACGTAACAAACAGTTCATAGCAACAGTGAGACAAAATAAAATAAATGAACTAGTATTAGAAGGTACCATTCATCGCAAGATTAGCAATTGCACCAGCTGCAATTCTACGTATCGTTTCATCCTCATAAGTTCTAAGGAGCATCAGCAATGACGAGAGACCACCAGCCTCGACTATCTTTTCCTGGTTCGCTTCTATATAGTATACATAACAAGCATCTAAGTTGTGTACAACAGTAGAAAACAACATTGAGAACTAACAAATCAGGAAAAAAA